ATACAAATATTCAATTTTATACTTTTTGTATGAGTATTTTGTTTTAAAAATACTTTACTCTTTTACTGTGACATTAATAAAATCCCCTTGAGATATATTATTCAGCGGATTTTTTTCAATCACTGAATCAAATCGGCAAGGTGTGAAAAAAGTGTCAATTTTACAATAATTTCAAAGGAAAATATAACCATATCACGACTTGCCTTCCAAATATACTCGATATTATTATGGAACCTTTACATATATTTGAAATCTGAAGACCTGCATAAATAATAATTGACTAATTTGTCCTCTTTGAATATATCGAACAACTGGTGGAATTTAAAGGACACAGTTTTAAAAGACTCTGGGTTTTCTTCTGCAAAGAACATTAATACTAAATTTATACGTTCGCCTGATCGTACAGTTTAAGTAACGATTAATGATTCTACCATCTGCAAACTGAGAATTGAAGATGCTATTTGCTATTATAGATTGAATTTTGCAGCTAACAAATTCCGTTATCTCCTCCTGGGTGTCGAACAATGTCAATGTGGTCATTATATTGGAATAGAACCATTCCCAGTCCTGCAAAATCTCCTAGCGGGTCAAGGGACAAGCCACATCTGCAAGTTCTTAATATAATTGATATGTAAATTTTGATAACGGATTAGATGCTAAATAATCCTGGAAAGTAAATTTCAATTTATAGTGATAAGAAAGATGATTTTACGCATACTGACGTTAATTTAAATAACACAGGAGATATTTCTTCTTGACAAGAGATTGGTCGCAATATTTATCTCCCGCGTATTCCATTATCGAAAACAATTACATGTACGTTTCGTTCTTCCAAATAAATTAACTTACTTTATTATTTTAGTCTCATATATATTGTATTAATATATGACGTGTTTAGCACATGCGTGAGGTATTGAAAACTCCTGCATGGTAACAGTCATGTTGCATCATATCGCAAAAAAACATTATTTCTGGAAATATAAATTTGTTAACAACAATCAGAATAAACTATATATTTTTTACAAGTCTTTTACTTAAGAGGATGAAATAAATAAAATATCATATTCTCGTAATACATAGAAAGGCAAAATTGTATTATCTCTGAACGCGCGACAGAGATTCGTATCGTTGACAGATTTGTAAGGTCGTGAATACGGTTAAATTCGCGGAGCTTTTTTGTTTACATGAGACAAAAGGTTGTGCTTCCCAATTACTTTTGAAGAACAAGTAATATCAGTCGTACTGCATTCTTCAAGCAATATGGATCTCACGTCAAAGCACACAATCGTTACTGAAAAAGAAACAGTTTGTTACACAAGTACGCGTTTTAGCGAAGGGATTACAACGCGAAAAATGCTAAAGCCCGACGATAAGAAAAAGGCGGAGAGTATAATATTGGATCACATAAGAAAGAACCCAAAAACAAGCCCAGAGAAGATTCAGGCCGCACTCAAAGATCGCCTAAACATACCAGTTAGTTCAATGCTGCTCTCCAAGTGGGTCTACAAAGTTAGGAAAAGGTAAGTTCGGAAATTATTCAAGTCATTAACAAACATACCGAAACAGTTCGTGATACATGTACACGTTCTAGCGAAGGGATTCCAATGCGAAGAAAGCTAAATTCCAACGAAAAGGTAAAGGCGCTAAGTATTATATTGGATCACATAAAAAAGAACCCAAAAGCAAAAGTATCTGATATTCAGGCCGCACTCAAAGATCAACACCAAATAACAGTTAGTTTATCGGCGGTAACATTGTGGACTAAAAAAATTAGGAATGGGTATGTTCGGAAATTGCTCAAGTTATTAACAAATATCCCAAAACAATTCGTTACACAAGTACGCGTTTTAGCGAAGGGATTACAAC